GCCCACTTTACAAACACACTATTATTTAAATACCATCGGATAGCCGCCTATCCTGTCGTCCCTTCCGCTCGTCGTCCATCAAACTCGCGAACCCGAGCGAGAGGATCAAGCCAACCAGGTCTGTACAACAATATGCATGTTTATTATCCGAAAGTTTTACATCGTTAGGATGTCATTTGTATAGGCGTGCATCGGCGGGACTCGGCCGACGCAGTGAACAGGGGGGGGGGGGGTGTACGCCTACGATCATTCTTGCATCGGTTCTATCAGTTATCATAGTTTCTATGTGTATCGACGAGGCGTCGTCGGATCACAAGCGATGATCAGCCATTTACAAATATAATATATCTATGTGTGTTAATCCACTTTCCTCGGACCAGAAAGGAAAAACGCATACATTTACAACGAGGGGTGGGGGGTGGGTGGGGGGATCACAACCGCATCTTCTATGATTTAAGAACTCGCGCAGGAAGGACTCGGGTGTAGTATAAAGCTGGAGGGGGAAGAAGACGACCGAGATGCAACGAATCCTCTAAATACAGTAATGTCTCTCTAATTGACGCTAGTAGATTGTCTACGAAAACGGACAATTCGGGGAGAGGAGACACGATTGATCGAGCCTTGCGGCTCGCTTTTATAATTGTGGACAATTTATAACTATAAAAATAAACCGCAAGGCTCCTCTTCCCAAATTACTGAGCGTCAGTAAGGGAGACGTTACTGTACTGTAATGTCTCTCTAATTGCCGCTTAAATTGTCCACGAAAATGGACAATTTGGGGAGATAATAATAAAACGAGCCACAAGGCTCGAACAATCGTATCCCCTCTTCCAAAATTGTCCATTTTTCTGGACAATCAGAGAGACATGATTTGCGTCAATTAGAGAGACATTACTGTAATTGCTGTCGAAGAGTCCATCGACGCTGTTTCTCCTAAACTTCCGCGAACGATGACACATGTACGTTGATGGAAACGCGCATTCGAACAAATCCGAGTCATCGGAGACTCAGAATCTACGTCCACACAAACGCGCGCGCTCACGCACATACACGCAGACAGAATACTTGCAGCACACAGGCATCGCATTTGTTATAACTATCATAAAATCGTGTCGCATGCGCGTCTCGAATATCATCGCGTTGGAAGAACTGTTCGAACAGGATCGTACAGAGTTGTGTTGTTTCGATATCGTTGCATGAAATCGCTCCTCCGAAATAGCATCGCGTGACCGGCAACCGTCGAATTTCTAAGTGAAACCGTCTGAAAGTGAAACAGTAGACAGGAATAAAAACCGCTCAAGCTTTATACTATTTGGAATAAAAAGAATAATCGATATTTTCATTCAACGATTCCATATATTTCACTTTATCGCAAGATTAAAATCTCTTAGTAGCTGGAGGCCGCCCTTCTTAACGGCGGCTCCTTAAATTATTAGTACATACAATTTTGTATCTTAGAGAATTAGTGTTTTTTGTCATCATTAATATGATTATTATTTTCCTCATAATCCACCTTTGCAATCAATCGCATATTATCCTTCGCGGGAAGGCATATAGTAATCTGCATAGTGACATCGTCTTAAAAATACTGGTTCTCTCTCTCTCTCTCTCTCTCTCACTCTCGCGCTTTCTGATCATATCTCTTTTTATTTCCTTCGTTTTCATCGTTCGAGAATAAACGGTATCTAACATTTCTACAACGTACCATGGAAGGTGCTCTCGGTATCTCAAAATACTGCGAAGATCATGAAATCACTCCAAAAACCGGTCGTCGCGCGGGCGAGACAGAACGAAGAAAAGAAAAAGGTAGGGACAAAGGAACAAAGCGAAATTAATTAGTAACTATATACATTGTTGTGTAGTCGGCGCTCTTATTAAAGACGATATAATTAAAGTGAGCTGCGAAAGCGAAATGACAATAATCGGAAGTAACGGAGAGAAATGTTAAGAACAATTAACGTAGCCTAATAATTACATTAGAACATTTTACATGAAAGCAATAAATAGTCAAAAAATGAGAATGTCGTTTTTGTAAACGCTGATGAGGACCAAGGACCGCCCGGCATCCGGTTGGACGGGGATGAATTTAATAATAATAACAAGAACCCGAACGGTATACGGAAGAAACGATCCCTGGATTATGTTAATGAAAAAAGAAAACGTCACGTTTTAATTGTAACATATTACTTTATCTTACTGATAACGCTGTCAAGAGAAGGGGTAAATCGTACCCCTCTTCCCTTGACATATATCTCCAAGGTGGAACACGAAAAGTATAATACTCATGAAAAAATGTAGTGGCATAGTACGAAGTTTGTTTTTAGTTTTCCATTTTTTTTTCTGGATCTTTAGAGATGTTCCGTTACAACAACAAGCACACTCGGACAGGGTTTTCCTACGAATGTACGGTTGGTTACTTGTTTGATTGTTTTCTTTTTTTCGTTTTTTTTTTCGTTTTGCTTTGTTTTTAATCACTAATCAGTCAACAGAATGATATACTTAAAAAATATATATCTACACGTAAAATCATACGCAAGGGAGAAGGTTAAAACAGAGGTTTTAAAAAGTCTTCAACGATCACAAACAACTTCTGACGATAAAACACCACTATCTAGAGTTCCTCACCCGCCCGTTATTGTTTACTCATCGATATAAATTTTTATGAATTTCTTCTGCCTGGCATGGGGATCCAATAGTGGTAAAAAATACGGACGAGGCTGTCATTTCTTTTTGGCTGGATTCCTTTGTGGTGTGGCCGGTCTCGCGCCCTGCCCGGTATTCATTCCTATATATTGGTATTTAGCTTTCTTCTCAGACGGTTTCAATATCTTTGAACAGAAAACGAGAAACATCATGACATTTCATACAATGCGCGCGTAAACTTATCATCGGCTCGATGTTAAATTCGTGAATATTGAAGTTCAACCTGAAAACTGCACATCAAAGACTCGTCGACGCTCATCATTCCGCCGGCGTTGTCGTACTCCCCGCAGTAATTCGGCGCGGAGAACAACGTGACCAGCTGCCGTTTCGCAAAAAACTCATAACCGTCTTCGACCACTTGATGCGCCCTGCATATTAAGTCCATATCGTGACGGTTCAAAAACTTGGACACTATGTCCGGACCGAACGTGAACGAAACGCCTCTGTCGTTCTCTCCCCAACCCTGCGGCAAATGAAATAACAATGTTATAGTTTTGCGTGATATTTCTTTCATATTGTTCCGTAAACGGACGAAGTTAATAACGAGATACAATAATACCTGGACCTCTTTGTCAGGATCCGACCACAGTAAGTCGCAAAGAAGGCCAGTATCAGGTACATCTGTTGGACGCATAATTCTTCTGATTTGTTCCATGTTCTGTTTAAAGAAAAACAAAAAAAGAAGAAGAAAAGAAGGTCAAAGTTACAGACATTTTTATGTAAGAATTTCAAGCTATTAATAAGCAGCCGCATAATATTCTATCAAAGTTCCCTTCCATTGATAATAATGAATAAATGAAGACACAATCATCCCTTGTCCATACATCAATGAGGTAGATAATAAAAAGCCAATATTTCAATCTCTAATGTTCTATTAACCATTGAACTTTTCACTTTCTTCCTCGTTGAATTATAAATAGAAAATATAATCCAGTATATATAATCGCCTATTATGTTGCCATTCATTGAAACCCGATAAGATGATTTTTACGCATGATCGATTACAAATAAATATGAAAAAGATATTAACAAATATTTTTAATTAATTGACACTCCAAAGGGCTCTCCAAGGAGTATGGAGTATTATATATAATATAAATATAATATATATTATATTAATTATTATATATAATATATATTATATATTATGATTATATTATATTATATTATATTATATTATGTTATATATATAATCACCTGAAGGTCCGGACTAAGGCCGCCATGGCAGCAGAAGATTTTCTCGTCGATGATGGCCGCGATCGGTAAACAGTTGAAACAATCCGTGAACGTCTTCCATAATTTAACGTTGTAACGCTTCTTGCATTCGTCGTAGAACCCGTATATCCTGTTTATGCTGGCGCACTCGTGATTGCCGCGCAACAAGAAAAAATTCTCTGGATATTTGATCTTGTACGCGAGCAGCAGGCATATCGTTTCCAGCGATTGTTTACCTCGGTCTACGTAATCCCCGAGGAACAAATAATTCGCTTCCGGCGGGAAGCCGCCGTATTCAAACAGCCGTAACAGATCGGTGTACTGGCCGTGTATATCGCCGCAGATCTTAAGTGGGGCCTCCAGCTCGAGCAGGATCGGCTGCTGAAGGAAAATCTCCCGTGACTTCAGGCAAAGGCCCCGCACTTCACCCTCCGTCATTACAACGGTCTTTCCTGGCCGGCATCCTCTGACTGCGTCCAAAAATTTCGTACGTTTAAATGCATTTCGACCGACCGCGGCGTCGCGAAGCCTCGCGAGGGCCGACAGTTTTTATTTCGCAGGTAAAGTGTACGCCGAGCATAACTTTCTACGCTGGAGCATGAAGGTGTCCTGACTGCCAAGAACCGAAGGGGGAGGGGAGAGGGTGGGGGACGTATAGATAAATACGTTCATGTACTCGGCTCTGCCACGAATTTTCGTAGAGTCACGTAGCTCTGTCATTACCCATAATATTATCCCAGGGAGATATACAGGGTGTCCCGAAAATGTCTCGAAATCCGGAAACGGGAGGTTCCCGAGGTGATTTGAAGCAACTTTCTCCTTTGCGAAAATGTTCTCCGAGGCTTCGTTTACGAGTTATTAACGAAAAGCACTGACCAATAAGAGGCGAGCTCGGTCGACGACCCGCCCACGGGACCGCCGGCGTCGCTCGCAAGGGCGGAGCGCTGGCCGCGCTCGCGACTCGTTGGTCAACCATTTTTCGTGAATAACTCGTAAACGAAGCGACGGAGAAAATTTTCGCTAAGGAAAAAGTTGCTTCAAATCATCTCGGGAATCCCCTACTTTCGGATTGCGAGACATTTTTCGGACACCCTGTGTATAGAGTGTACATTGTATCCTGCACATTGAAATATCTTCGTTATTTCTGCCAGCACCAAAAAAAAATGGGACAACTTCGTTTGGTTCAGGTCTAATAATTTTCTCCCTCAAGGCCACTTTCTTCGAGTATCCGAGGTCATCGATAGTTTTCGCACGTCAACCCTTAAGGGTCACAGTGTCGGGGGTCGTTGAATTCGTCTCGGTGTGCGCCACACAGCTGCGTTATAAAAAATAGGGGTTAATGTGCAAAAATATCGATGGCCTCAATACTTAAAAAGAAATGACCTCGGCAGGAAAAGGGAAAAACATGAATCATATTTTTAGCTTTGAAGCGAAACAACGTTGTTTGGACACGTTTTTTGATACCGGCAGAAAGATAACGGATGATATTTCGACGCGCAGGATTAAATAAATACCCCGTATTTACTATGTATATACAGTCAGAGCAAAAGTTTCTGGTTGTTCAGGGCCACCGCGAGATCACTCCCTATATTCCTCAGTTAGGTGCCCGTGCTTACGTTGATGCTAACACCGTACATAGGTAAGTAGCAGCGCCGTGGGATCAATAATATTTCAATCGAGCTGCAGCATTTTTTTTTATAACCGCGAACATAAATATTAATAAAGGTAGCGCGGCCTTGACCCATTCGGAAGCTTTACCCTGACTGCGATACGTTTCCGGTTAATTCGTGCGGTAATATTCCGTGAACGTGAAACGTCACGCGTACGAAATATTTTAAAAATAACTATTCTATAATTATCGCCAACTGATTAAACCCTTCCGTTACCGGACAGTTCACAGCGGATCTAGATTTCGCCGCGTGTTCGCTGGAACATTAACGCGACTGTTTCGCGTCCTACGAATCAACGGATATTTTTAATTAAGTTATCTTAAATTAATGTACGACAAATTTCGAACGAACGTACGTATTTATATGTTTCGATATGTTTACGAACACCGGATATGACGGTTAAGCAAGCGAACGAAAGCGAAAGCAAATTTGTATTTCTTATATTATATATATATATATATATTTTATATATTATATATAATATAATAATATAATAATAATATAATATAATAATATATAAAATTTTATTTTATTTTTTATATTAAAGCAAAGAAATATAAAACCGAATGAATCTTTATTAATCTATCTATAAACAATAAATTTAAATAATATATTCAACGATTAACAAGCACGAGAAAATGTGCTCCCAGTACACCGTTGGTAAGGGAAGGGTTATTTTAATGATCGATGACAAAATAGGCAGTGTTTACACAACAAAAATGATATAACAGATATTATCGATTTCCGATTCAGGGGAAGAACGACGTTTCACGTGGAATTCCTTTAATATATCGCGTTTCTATCTACTTATACGACTTGCTTAATTGGCAGGCGGTATCGGTTCCTGAATCGTCGGAAAATAAATGGTTGTCACGCCGCGGTGCGTATTTCGGTTGAAGGGTCGCAATTTCCAATAGAAAATTCACTTTTTTTTCTCCCCCTCCGTATGATGCAATTGTTTGAAGAAACGACTCTAGGTCGGGGGTTCGATTATAAAAACGTCGAGCTACGTGGTATAGGTTTCCTCTTGATGCAATAATCGAGAATACGAAAGGTTGTCGCACACTGTAGTTATAATGCTTCAAAGGGATTAAAGTGGCTATATGAGTCCTCGGGAATAATACGATGAGCATGAACTTACAGGAAAACAAAGTCTAAAAAAAGAGAAAAGCCGAAAGCCATTTAGTGATATGCAATCGCCTACGCAATTAGTTCGAACGCGAACGCATAAAACCAAATATCAATGGTTGGAGGTGGAGGGGGTGGGGGTTGTCGAAAACGCGAAAAAAGAAATTAGAACGGTTAAATTTTGCGCACACGTGTGTAAAACACATCGGAATCTCGCGGTGTCATCATCAATGTATTTATAACTATGGAGGAATTTCATGGTGTGCGGTTAAATGAAGTCGATGCGACGGTTATTGGAAAACTGCATATCAGCAAGGTCATATCACAACGATCCAAATGATTATAGTCGATAAGAAAATATCATTTTTCTGCGAAAAACTATTTAGCTAAATTAATAAGAGAAATTCTATGTTCGAGGTGGGAGCATACATTAGAAACCGTTCTCTATTAATAAATACGGTTATTTAAAGAAAACGATAAAAAAGATAGAAAATCGTCATGGTTATATTTGATCAAACACGAGACAGCTTGGAACAGGCTCCGCTCGCGGACATGTTACGATTTATTGCAACAGTTTTATTTAGGAACACGTACAGGGTATCTTGATAAGTTTTGATATTATCGATTAAAAATACAAAGAACATTCAGAATCATAAGAAACCATTCGAATGAACTTTTCTCTCTGGTTTATCATCGTTTATTATGTACTTTTATAAAACAAAAATATATTTCTTCTTCAATTATGTCTCCTAACTTCTACGGGATACAAGCGATATATCATTTCATTGGTAAGAAAGATCGTCTGCTTTTCATCCATATCTTTATCCTAATTACAATAAATTTCTTATCGGACAAAGAAATTCTGTTTAAAAAATGACTCATTCAAGTATACAGCATTCGAGTATATCAATCTGCACAGAGATAACGCGCGTTTCGTATTTACTTGCTTCTCAGATATAAAATCAATGTTATAAACTATATTCAGTATCGAACACATCGAGGAAAATATAACATATCGGAAAAGGGTGACATCATATTTTAGATAAACTTGGCAATCTTGACAGAGATAATACTTGGGAGGAAATAGCATGTTCATTAACACTAGAACTATCGAAATGACTGGTTTCTGATTTGTTTCTTTCACAATCTCTGATGCTAGAAAAATGTTTTTGTTACACATTTTTATATGATCTCCTTCAATGTAGCATATAATATAATAAAACGGTATACATTATAGTCACCGTTCAGGTCTCTGTAGTTCTACTGTTAATATCGGATCAAAAAAAATTGTTCATTTTGCATTTTCTGGAAACATGTTAATTCATGAACGAATTAACACCGGCAAATATCATATTGAACATGCGATTGAGTTCGCATTCGAGCCACTATTTGTGTTCCAATGAGATCATATCGGGTGACCTTCATAAAACTATAATTCATCCGTTGAAGTGTAAACACGGTAACTAAAAGCTTCATCGAATATTTACATTATAGATGTTGTTTCCATAGCCTTGCGATACGTAATACCCTCAGAGAACCCACGCTGAACCGTATCGGAGACGCTGATGCACAGCAATATGAGAAAAGCTAAGGAGAGCGTACGGTGGCACAATAACAAAAATCAACCAGGAACGGCGATGACATCTTAAATGAAATTCAATATTGCAGTTGCCACGATATTGTAACTAGCTTCTATTTCATCTTATGTTATAAATCATATATATGTATATGAGGACGAGCGATCACGCACGACGTTGAGGCAGGTAAAGATGCAACTAAAAAAAAAAAAAGAGACGTCCAAGAGAGAACTACATGATGTTTGTTTCCTTGTTGCGTACCGACAAAATCCGACGAGAAAATATCTTTTAGCTTGGCTTTCTTCTGTACCTGGTCTTTCTGCGCTTGGTAAACTTTACCGCGCAGAATTCCGAGACACGTAGCATGAGAAAGAGAACAAACGTGAAAAAATAGTTTCGCCTTCGAGGAAACGAAGAAAAGTCGACGGATAAACTCGTCGACGTCTGGAAATGTAAGAGTTTAACGAAGACTGTAAAACACTGGGAGATCGATATCAGTTTTTTTGAACCGATCTACCGACCGTAAGCAAAATAGTGTTTCAACGGACATGGGAGATCGAGAGAAACCGTTTACGGACTCGTTAAAGCACAGATACCGTGTGTCGTAAAATAGACCGCGCACGATTATTAATCTTCCTTTGGTTGAAAAGAAAACGTATATGTTCGATGTACGGCGGCGCGACATCGGATCGAGCCAATTTCCACCGGATACTTTGGAAAAACTTCCCGTTAACTGTACACCAAATCGTAGACAGGAATCTTGGGAACAACTTCACACTTTCTTTCCACCAAGCCTCCCTTTTTTATCACGTACCTTCCAACAATCTTTGTATCAGGTTGTCGACGTTCAACTCGACATCCGCCATTTTTTCTTGCCACTGACTGACTGACCCGATGTTTGTAGACTAGACGATACGTTTGTGTACGCAGTTAACTGTATATACATATGTAAATACATCTCGTAGGATTCATGTGTAGCTATACGTGTACGCGTGCTGTTATCGACTGCCGGTTCTATGTAAATAAGAAAAGGATTATAATGATCTAGAACAAGTGAAGCAATTTCAGGATTTATTTGAAATAATGATCACCGACACGGTTACTAAGAAAACGGTGTTTTGAAAAAATAAGAATTATTAAGTAACGGGCATTTAAATATCAGAAAATATTATATAAATATAATAAATTCTTATATATATTATTAAATAATAAATTCTTATTAAATAAATAAATAAATTATTATTAAATAATAAATAAATATATTATTAAATATAATAACTTCTCATATTCTGATATTTAAAAGGGTATAAATACAATCGAATGCATGTTACACCTTTTTATATTGCTATCACATATTTTTCGAGTTCGTCAACAGATCGAGTTTCTGGATCAAATCATAATTAAATGTTTAATGTATAGTATG